ACAGACCCACTCCAAAAAAAATTTCTTAAAACCGACCCGTTTTTTTTTTATTTATCAAAACCGACCCGATTTTGTAATTAACAGCTTAATCACCTTCCTAAACAGTCGGGGTTGGCAACCCCGACTATTTAGGACCTTAATTTTTAGGGTTTAAGGCTTCTAATTAGGGTTTAACACCTTCCTAAATAGTCGGGGTTGCCAACCCCGACTGTTTAGGATAGTGATTAAGCTGCTAATTACAAAATCGGGTCGGTTTTGATAAATAAAAAAAAACGGGTCGGTTTTAAGAAAAAAAAATTGAAATGGGTCTGTTTTGAAAAATTCTTCTAAAAAAAACCTTTTATTCAGAACATTGCATAACCACCAAAGCAATTTTATATTTGTACTTTTAATAGTGTTAGTGTGCATATACTTCATATTTATTCATTCTTGATAGCATATCATTGTGAGTTTTAATTTCTTCAATTTTGTGAACCATTGTCATATAGTTCTAAGACTATACCTCACAAACAATTCTTTTGTCAGATCCTTTGAATTACCAAGGTTAGCAATTTTATTTTTAGTCTTTATGGGTAATGTTAATCTATCTAAGTCCGCCAAACCTGAGAAGTTCACCGGTTTGAACTACAAACGGTAGGTAAATCAGATGAGATATTGACTTACAACTTTAGGACTTATTTCTACTATTGACTCTAATTTTTCTATATCAACACCTACGCCCTCTTCATCATCACAAGCTGAACCTACCTCCACACCTACCACATCATCTGAAATTTCCAAATCTTCTGAGGAAATAAACTTTCATTGTTACAATCGAATCCTTAGTGCTCTTTCAGACAAATTGTATGACATTTATTATGAGTATAAGGATGCAAAAGATTTGTGGGTAGCACTAGAGTCTGAATATGGTTTAGATGATGTTGATATAGAATGTTTCTCCTCCTCCTCCTTTAATAAGTTTGTTATGGTAGATAGTAAACCCATCAATGATCGGCTCCATGAATTTCAAGACTACATCAGATACCTTCAGTTGAAAGGAAATACTTTCTCTGAAGAATATAAGGTATCTAGTCTTATTGATAAACTTCCTCCTTAGTCTGACTTTGCTAAAGATCTCTGTCATCTACAAGGTGACTTGACTCTTGTACAAGCCCTCAAAGGTATTAGGATAGAGGACCTGCATAGGCAAAACACCAAGCCAAAAAATAAAACGAAAGCAAAAGTAAACCTACTTGGGGAAAAGCCTAAGAACTTTAGAAACCCAAATCAAACCTAGTTGGGGAAAAGCCTAAGAACTTTAGAAACCCAAATCACAAACCCAAGGGCAAGAATTTCAAGAAGAAGAATCATTCCCATCGTCCTAACCAACATCCCAATCTCTCTAGAAACCACAAACCTTTTAGCCAAAAGTCTGAGACTAAATTTTACTATGTCTGTGGGAGAACCAATCATCTTTTGACTCAGTGCTTCTACCGAAAGAAAGCTCCTATCAAGACTCCTGTAGACGGAAATGGTGGAGAAGCAAGTCATAAGGTCAACATGGTAGAAAATAACTCAGACTCCTTTAGGTTGACTTCCTCTTCTTATGTAGTATTTTTTACCATCTTTTCTGATGACTGGTGGTTGGATTCTGGAGCAAATATTTATATTTCTTCTTGCTGCTCTTGGTTTTTAACTTATCGGGAATCAAGTGGAGGGAGTGTAATTATAGAAGATGACTCGACTAGACAAGTAATGGGAAGTGGACGTGTGGACCTAAAGATGACTTCCAAAAAGATTTTAACTCTCCATAATGTCCTACATGTACCATTACTTAGAAGAAATCTGATTAGTGAATCTGTTTTATTGAAAGTTAGATTTAGACTTGTCAAAGATTCAAATAAGTTTGTAATTACCAATAGTGATATTTTTATTGGAAAAGGTTTTGTTTGTGATGGTCTTTTTAAGTTGAATGTAATAAGTGAAAGTACACTGGAGGGGGGATGAATAGGGTAATTGCTAAGCTAATCCGATTTAGATACCAAATTAAAACTTATTATGCAATATATCCTACCAATGTGATGTACAATGATATATGCAAAGATATACAATGAGAAATAGGCGATATAAACAATGAGACAATAAAAATACACCAAAGACAAATGCAAGCAAAAGGAAATAATCATGGAGTTCGATCAACCTTCGACCTACGTCTCCGCTCCTCACCTCGAGGAGATTCTCCACTATCTCAAATAACTACACAATCAGTTTTTAAAGTTCACCGAAAACTTTTACAACTCACATGATTGTCAATCCTACAAGACACTTCTCTAAGTTTTGACCGACCCGTGTCACTTTCCTCAAGTGCTTGAAATTACTACCTCTCCCAAGGCTTTTACAACTAAGCCACTCCTCTTGTAATTGACCACGTTCTTCTCCCAACCACTTTTCTAAGTGTCCTTGTGTATTACAACGTGAATCAGCAATAAGCTCAAGTAAATGATTTGTTCTCTAACAAGATGAGAACAAAATTGTAAGCTCACTCAATGATACAACCCCACAACCCAAGTATATGATATGTGAAATACTAAAGCTCAAGTGGTTGTGTGTGTAAACAATGAGTATAATAAAAATTAAACTCAAATTAATCTAGCAATTATATATAAGAGAATCAAAATAAGAACAAGCTAGATAAATGAGTTTAGAAAACTTCTCCAATAAAAACAAAGAGTTGTAGATGATGAATTGAGGTTGAACGCCTCAGAAATAAAATTTCGATTCTCCTCTTTGTAAACTCTTTTTCAAACAAACAAACACTTGATCTCTTTAAAAATGAGTAGTCAAGATGGCTTAAACAAACTGATGAAACACTTGAAAAACTTGGCTCAAAAATGAGCATTGAGGGGTATTTATAAGCTCTAAAAAAAATTCTTCCAAAACTACCTGTTACAGCCAAAATCCATTATCGGTCAACTGATAGGTTGAATCGGTCAACTGATGATCCGACCGTTGGTAAAATCCAGAACCATATCGGTCGATTGATAAACATCATCGATCAACTGATAGGTTGTTCGGTCGACTGATAAAGATCAATCGACTGAGCAGAAACAAAACTTAAAATTACAGAGCAGTTTATCGGTCGACTGATATGAACAGTCGGTCGGCCGAAAAACATGCACAGCTCATTTTGAACAGTAAACTCGATTTTCAAAGTGTGTTTAAAAATAGCAAATAAATTTCAAAATTTATGAAACTTGGGAAAATGTTTATATACATGAATATAAACATGTTAGAGAATAAATTTTTGAAATATAATTTCCCATTTGTAAAAACTCATTATTTTGCAAAATCTCAAAAATACGAGTTCGTTTAAACACTTGATTTTGTCAAAACGATTTCAACCAAATTTTGGAATCCTTTTTAGTGTATTAATAGACTTTGGAAAAGATGTGAAATAGTATAATCAAGTCTTTAATCCATAAACACATTATTTTTTCAAAATAAAGATAATAAATATGAAACAAGTATATATGTATATAAAGATAAATATTTGTTTCATATCTATACAATTAAACCTGAAATCTATAAAACGAAAACATGTATGTGTGTTGTTTGAACTCTAAGCATAGCACATAAAGTACAACCCTAAAATACTATAAACAATATACCAAGCTTAGAAATCTTCATGAAGCTCGATCTTGGTAACGAATGAAGAAATAATGAACCTCGACTTGAATTGTAACGACTTCATTCCTATTTTCCTTCCAATCTCCTTTGAATATCATCGTGAACACGCAAATCCAACCAACCTCCAACAGAGGATATTTGTGTAGGATTCCTAACAAGTAAATACAAACACTCGACAAATGATGTTAGGAATTGTTTGTTAATCATCAAAACCAGATTAGATAATAGGCTCATAAACATGAGACCTAACAATAAGACTTTTGATAATAAAAGTTCTTCTTCCATAATCTTAAATGTTGAATCTTGTGGCAAATGGCATGGAAGGTTAGGACACATAAACTATGGAACCATTAGAAAAATGACATCTTTGAACTTGATACCCAAAACTAGGATAGATCCACCTTCTAAGTGTGAGATATGTGTTCAAGCTAAAACCATTAGAAAACCTTTTCACTATATTCATAGAGATTATGAACCACTAGAACTTATACATAGTGATGTTTGTGATGCAAACAGAATTCTTACTAGGGGTGGAAGAAGATACTTTCAAGCACCCCTTGAGCTCTTTATTCTTCATAAGAGCAACCTTCAACATTTCCCTATCTATGTATGCTAAAACAACACTAGCCCATGATAATGTCCCGCACGTGTCGAAGTCCTAGAGAAGCGGTAACCATCTATCACATGGCAAATATATTTAGTCGTATTTAATGAATAATGAGTAAAAAATCTAGCGAAAACGACCAATATAGTGCATTATATGAATACCAAGTTGTCTTACCTCAAATGTAGTTCACGTTTACTTGAATCAGGGAAAAAAGCGTCCCGATCATGTGCAAAATGTACACTGAGTATGTTGTTGGATCATGACTTGGGTCTTGGGATGCATCTTCTGGCAAGGGGAAAAGAAGTAGTCCCGTGCATTTCATTTGTGACTTCAGAAAACCCACGGGACTAGTAGTCCTGTGGGTTTTCTAAGTTCAAATTAGTGGCCAATTACCGGCCACTAAACATATGGGACTACTAATCATGTATGTTTCAAAACTCCATCTCTGCGAAATCGACCTGTTGGCCAAAAAGATGTCGGTTTTGCTAATTATTTAGCAAAAAAGACATCTTTTGGAAAAAAAAAACTCCGAAAATATAAGGTATAGTTTAAGTGTGATTTAGACTTTGATAAAACATCTAAATGAAGGATTTAACAAGATTAATTTTCTCCAAATGCTGAATTCTCTGCCTGCAGCATTTAACGCAAGCGTGGGAACCGTCCCTTTTAAGTCGTATCCTCTGTTTCCATCCACCTCCACAATAAACATAACAAAAACAACAAAATTTAAAAAAATCGTTTCGGATCTGATACGAAAGCTCCCTATTACTTACTCTTCTTCTTCTTCTTCTTCAATCCCAACGAAAGAATTCTCACCGAAACTCAACTCCTGTCTCGCACATGGCTCTTCCTTCGTCCTTTCTCGTCGAACCCATCTCGGGGAATCCGAAACCGACCCAAGTTATGAGTCCTGCGTTTCGTAGCGTCTCGGGTCCTAGTATCGTTTCGGTGATACGAGCTAGATCGCTGAGAAATATTGTTAAGTGTGGTGCTACTGCCAGTGAGTTATTACTCAGTTTTAAACTTTTGCCCAATCAATCGATTTTTGATGAAATTTAATGTTTGGTTAATTATAATTTGAGCAGATTACCAGGTAGAGAATGGTATTGGATCAGTTGTTGTTCCTGTTTTATCTGCTGCTGGGGTACGATTCTGCTCGATTCACCTTTTTTTTGCCATTTCTGGGTAGTTAAGAATCAAGTAAGGTGCTTTATTTGGGGGTACTGCATGTTTTTTCTTAGAACTTTTAGCATATTTACCCTTGTATTTGTAGGAAGTATTTGTAAAATGTCCTGTTGGAATATAAAACCGTAACCGTCAACCCTCATCACAACTTTGGAGTTTTGGCGTAGTGGCAGAGCCTTTAACATGGTACCATAGCAGTCCATATTAGAATCCCGCTGGCCACAAATGTAATGCGGAAGATTCGGTGCAGTTGTAGGGTCTTTAAGATGCCCTTTGGTAAACTATAACTCTTTGAAATTCTAAAAAAGTTACAAAGCAGAGTGTCCATGAATGATAAATTTAAGTGACTTAAGTGTGATTTACTCTATTGATGCATTATACAAAATGAAATTTTCTTCAATATTAGCAAGAACATGCATGTGTTTAATGAGTCAATATGAGAGGGGTGTTGCTTAATAAAGCGATGTGCTTGCTATAGCCCGAAAATTCATAGATAAGAATAGGCTTATCTTGTATATCAGCAAAGGTTAATTTACATTTTTTTTTTAAAAGTAAAGGTTAATTTATAAAATAGTCAACTTTGTTAACTTTTGCAACAAAATCATTTAATAATTTATGAACACAAGGATATATCTGCAATTAAACAATGTCGTATCTTCAAAATTGCAAATACATAGTGATATATGTTATTTTCAGAAACAAAGGGTATTCTTTTTTTTCTTTTTTTTTTTGGGTCTACTTTACTATAGCAATGATTGTTTAGGTGATTTTGGTGATTGGTCTGTTCTTTTGTTACGATTCATTTGTAATATTCCTCTTCCTTTCTTAATCCGTTTCATTAGTTTAATGATACACATGGTGGAATCTTCACCTAGTTGTAAAGAATCATGCATAATTGAAGTGACTTCTTTATAGACAAGTGAATAGGAAAAGCTAAGGTTTTGTCGAAACAAATAAAATGAAAATCAGGATGTGTAAGTGAATTGCAAGAGACTTGAATGTGCTCTTTTTAATGTTTCATATAGCCTGATGACGTAATTCAATGTAAACATACATTAATCTTAATGTCTCTGTATAACCTCGATTGTCATGTATGAAGTACTTCGGCCTTCTTGATTGAAGGCTGTAACAGTTAAATGGTTATCTGTCAATAGTTTTACAATAATAACACAACTTTCATCTGAAATCAAATGGTCAGTATAGGAGGAAACACCGACTACAAGCGAACTCTTTTTTTTTTTTTTTGTTGCGTTTCAATGTGGTAGATATGTGGATTTTATCTCAACTCAAAACACTATAAACTTTCTAGGAACAGAACAATGGCAAATGTCTAATTTACATATATTATTTTGGCATAGAGGTTAACATAGTTTTGATGAATGGAAAGGTTGCGGAAGAGCTTAAGGTATTTCAGGAAAACAAAACTAGCAACCAGGAATACTTGGCTATGTATTCGAGCATCGTTGGTGGAATTACTACAGATCCTGCTGCCATGGTCATTCCCATTGATGATCATATGGTTCATAGAGGACATGGTGTTTTCGATACAGCTGCTATAATGGATGGGTAAGTTAAAATTAGGTACCACAGGAATATTCTTTTGATTGGTCCTGCTTAAGATGCATATGGATATCAGGAAAAGAAAAGACAGAGAAAAAGATAAGTAAGGCTGAGGCTAGGAAATTCTCATTCTCACAGCAGGACAACCTAAAAGAAAATGACTTGTTACAATTGATGATGAAATTCTTTTATAGGTTAATTCATTTCCACTTTGTAGATTTATATTCATAAGCAAATATTTAGTCATATATACTACAGTTACAGAAACTGATACCTGCACATTCTTTTATGATCTCAGACATCTCTATGAGCTAGATCAACATGTGGACCGATTCCTGCGATCTGCATCAATGGCCAAAATCCGCCTTCCATTCGACCGTGCTACTATAAAATCCATTCTAATTCAGACAGTGGCCGCCTCAAATTGCACTCTCGGCTCTTTGCGCTATTGGCTCTCTGCTGGCCCTGGAGACTTTTACCTCTCCCCCGCTGGCTGTCCTCAACCCGCACTCTATGCCATTGTGACCCAAATCCGAAAGCCCCCAGAGTTTAAAGGCACGAAAGTAGTAACCTCTTCGATACCGATAAAATCACCTCAATTTGCCACCATGAAGAATGTGAACTATCTCCCAAATGTGTTGTCCAAAATGGAAGCCGAGGAGAATGGAGCTTTTGCTGCTATTTGGTTAGATGATGAAGGATACGTTGCTGAGGGCCCTAATATGAATGTGGGATTTGTGACAAAGGAAAGGGAGTTCATCGTACCAAGATTTGAGAAGGTATATGAATGATACCTTCTTGCTTGCTTACAAGGTTCATTGCGCATGGACTCCCTGAGGCATCACTGTTTTGAAGTTACTGTCAACCCCCTGCGTTAATTTTTCGTTTACTCCTTTACCCTCAGATAGACTCACTAACTTCACCCAGGGGCAATATCTGCCAAATTTCACTAGGGTAGTAAAAAAATTACCCAGGGGTTATATCTCCAACAATGAGATAACGGGGATAGTAAGTTCAAAACAGCGATACTACACGGGGTCTATGTGCAATTAACCGTAATTTCTGAATATGTTTTCTCATGTTGTTGCGGTGTGAGTAGATTTTAAGTGGGTGCACGATAAAAAGAGTGTTGGCACTTGCTGAGAAGTTAGTGAAGGAAGGAAGGCTTACTGGTATTAGTGTGAGGGATGTGACCGTTGATGAAGGGAAAAATGCGGACGAGATGATGCTCATTGGAAGCGGGATTTTGGTGAAGCCAGTGTTGGAGTGGGATGATCAAATCATTGGTGATGGTAAGCATCTCT